CGACGCGTGGGGCAACAGGATAGACAATGAGCGCTTCCTTTTTTTCCCGGCGCGTTTTTCTCTTTTTTCTGTCAGGGACACGTGGCATAGCTCTTTGCTCGCCAAACAAGTCGCAGTTAATGGGTGTAATGCTTCTTTCATCCATGAAGAGGGGTCCAGCACCAGCAGTGATGTTGTCCGCGATGCTGCCAGTGTGCTAGTGGTGGCCGAGAATTTTTTCCTCGGTCCTACGGTGGATGCTCACACTGCTGAGACTCTGGCGTTGAAACGAGGCCTTGTGCTTGCTCGGGGCCTCAGAATTCACCACCTTATTGTCCAATCGGACTACTTGCAACTGGTGGAATGTATGAACAATGGATATGGCTCCCCGTCTATTGCGGCACTGATTATCGACTGTTTTGATGTTTGTAGGGAGTTTTGGGAGGGTCTCTTTTGTGCATTGTGCGCATGAAGCTAACCGCGTGGCTCATGAACTTGATTAGCTAGGATAATCTAGTTTGATGCAACGAGGAATATAAGCACAAGCAAGACATTGCAGATAAGAATAAAGACTTCCTGTGGATCTCTTCTAAAATGGGCAGAAAGATTTTCAATAAGTATTACCACATAGGGCAAGCTTAACCAATACCTTATTAAACTAGTTCAACCACTACTTTAACTTGCATTTTTTTTTTGTTCTATCATGCCAACAGAAGAAATAGAGTAGAACAGGTCATGCTGAAATTTGGCTTACATCAGTAAAAGCCTGACCTATGAATTTTATTTTTCAGTCCAGTCTTCCACTTTCACACTCCTTTTCTTCTGATATTGATTCTTCCTCATCAGTTTCAGATGATAGTACTTCCGATGATAGTTGGACTTCCGCCCGAGCTCAACAAGCTTGATAGCCTCCTTCACCCTCGATGCATTTACCAATGCATTCACTACATCCTGCAGCACACCACACTCGACTCCACAGCACTTTTTACTAGCAAAGATTTCATAACAGTACCTCAGTGCACAATCCAGCTCTCCAGCCTGCACAAGGTGTGGCACGAGAGTCTCATATGTCCCCTTATTTGGGACACACTCGTTCTTCATCAAATTATCATACACCTTCTTGGCCTCCTGGAACCTCCCAGCTTTGCAATATCCTAGAATCAACTGATTGTAGGATACTATATTGGGTTTTGGCCCGTCCTTCTCCAACCTCTCAAGCACAGCAGCTGCATCATCAATCCTACCTTGTGCAACCAAACCCCGCAGCTTTGCATTGTAGCACTTTGCGTCTGGCTCCAAATTCCTCTCCTTAATCATTTCCCATACTGCCTCGGCTTCATCATTACGGCCACTGTTGTGAAACCCATCCAAGAGCGAGTTGAAAGTAATAATGTCAGGTGAAACACCGTGCTTCTTCATGAGATGGACAGCATAAAGAGCGGCTGAGAGGTTGGACTTCTGGCACAATGTGCGGATGAGCGCGTTGTAAGAGTATAGGTCGGGCACAATGGAGGGGTGTGTGGCTGGGATCTCCTGGAATGCAGCAGTGAGCGCGCCAACATCTCCGGCTTCGGCGTACGCGGCAAGGACGGCGTTGAATGTCCTCGTAGACTTATGCCGCGCGGGGAGTTGATGGAAGGTTGCGACCGCGTGGGATGCCATGGAGGCACTGCCGTAGAGGCGGATGAGGCGCGCGGCAAATCCCTCGCTCGAGGTCTCGAGGAAGGGCTTCTGCGCGTCGATGATGGCCTCGATGCCGTCTTTGCGGCCCAAGGAAGTGAGGCGGCTCACCGCTACATCGTACGCGCGCTGCCCGTCGCGGAAGCGCGACGATGCGGACGAGGCTTCGACGAACTTGGAGACCAGCTTATCAGGGTCCCGCTCCCTGATGAGGGCCTTGACGACACCGCTAAGGGGCTTCCCTAGCTCGTGGCCCGCGCCGGACTCAGCTTCGCCGGCGGGATGTGCGCCTAGGGGCTTCGGGAGCTTCTGATTCGCGATGGAGTCAGCATCGGCGGCGGGCGGCGCGCGCTTGGTCTTGGGATTGCGCTTGGGTGGTTTTACGGCTGGCGTGGAGGGGGAGACGATGCGGGAGAGGCTTTTTACCCAGGTGGAGGCGGCGGCGACGGCGGCGGCGGCGGCGGCCGCGAGGGAGGACATGGGTGGGCGGCGGATGGTGGGGAATGGGGCGAGAGGAGTGGAGTGGGCGAAGGAGGGGTTTCCCAGCTCATCGATGCAATGCTTCTTAATTAGGCCGTCAAAATGTTAGCCCGTTAACCGTCTCCCAGCCCAGCCCAGCCAAAGAAAGCCTCGGATGCCCAAAATGTCTCGGTCGACCGACCCACCCCAGCAAAATGGGTGCGGCTATAAGTCGCTTATAGCGAGACATATCCAGCTATCGCCTACGGCCGGCCTTGCTCAATCGCTTGCGTGAGTGGACCGGCCCGTTAATACGATACGGCGCTTCTTCCGGAGCCTCCAAGGGGTCATTTGGGGGGAGGTCCTATACGGCGCAGGCGCCCGAACCTGGAAATGGCGCCTACAGCAGGCCTTCCGTGGGTTATTTTAAGCTCGGCCCAAAAATAGATACGTTAACATAAAAACCACGCCAAAAATATGGCAGTATGGGGATTCAATCTCGCACCACACATCCTTGTAATTTCTTAGCTTAACCACTAGACCTTCAGAATGCTAGTGAACAAAAACAGCACGAATTGTATTAAAACTATTGCAGCCGCGCTATTTATTACTCAGCCATTTACTATACAACTGAGATTTTTTGAGTTATTTGAAAACAATTTGGATAATGTCTATTTTCTTTAGTGAAAAAAGTTCACTAAATTTCAAAAAAGTTCACAAATTTTGAGAAAGTTCATCGATTTTGAAAAAAACATCGTCAATTTTTTTTAAAGATCATCGAATTTAAAAAAAACATCAATTTGGAAAAAATTCATCGGATTTGCAAAAAGTTCATCGATTTTTGAAAGGAAGTTCATCGATTTTTTTATAAAAAAAATCGATGATTTAGAAAAGAAAACATCGAGTTTGAAAAAAAGTTCATTTGATTTGAAAAAGTTCATTGTATTTAAAAAAAATCAGTTTTGAAGAAAAGTTCACAAACTAAAAAGCAGCGCATTCAACAAAAGAAGAAAAAAGAAAAAAGTAGAGAAAGAACAAAACAATCTGACAAACAAATAAAAGAGAAAACCAAAGAAACAATGCACACGCGGGTTAGTGGCTGCCCGTTTACAGAAAAACAGTAATAATGGGCGACTACAGCATCAAATAGGAATCGCCCATTTGGGGTGGGCAGAGAGCGCGCCAGCCGCCGCCACATGTCGCGCTCTGGGCGTCTCCTCCGGATTTGTTTTTATTTTTTCGCACACATATTCGGCTTTTGAAATGGTTTTTTATGGGGGGTTGGCCTTTTGGTTTTCCACCGGTCTTTCTTAACATTTGAGAAAAAAATAAAAAATAATTGCGTGAAAAAACATGTATTTTTTTACTTCCACAAGAGGCACGACCGTGCCTCTCGAAAACAGAATTTTATTTTTATTTTTTGCTTTCGCGAAAGGCATGGACTTGCTTCCGTGGCCGTGCCTCTTGGAAGCGAAAAAAATTGCTTTGTTTTTTGCTTCCGCGAGAGGCACGACCATGCCTCTCGAAAAGGGAAAAGAATGTGTGTTTTTCCTTCTGAGAGAGGTACGATTTTGCTTCCGCGGGAGGCACGGATTTGCTTTCGCGGGTCGTGACACTCAGAAATAAAAAAAACTGTTTTTTTTCTTCCACGAGAGGCACGGGTTTACTATGATTTGCTTCCGCGAGAGGTACAGTCGTGCCTTTTTCGGAAAGAAAAAAAATATGCTCCCGGTTTGGTTTTTACGTCTAGTTTTTTTTGGAAAAAAATCGTCAAAACCTATCAACATGGGATCTAGTTTTAAAAATCTCGGCACGAGGAATCCAACGGTGAAAACGGTTCGAGATTTGGAGGCACGATTTAAAAGATAATTTTTTTAATAAATGGATCTAAGAAAAAAAAGAAAAATGTCATTTTGCGACAACTGGTGCACATGCAGTGTGCCACTTGTCGCAGCCTGAAAATATGGAAGTAACATTTGCAAAGAGTGCTCCTTAATTAGTGATTTCGGCTCACGCCCCTCTTATTTGTCCTCTTGCTTTTAGCGGGCAAATGGGAGAGCAACTAACAGGAGGTTGTCTTTTGCAAAAATGCTACATACACGGAGCTCCAATGGACTCTTTCCAACTTAATACGAAAACGCCCCTGAATTTTATGGAGTGGGCCCACTTCACCCCTAGGTCCCAATCACATCTGCCCATGTCAGCAAGTGTGTAACTTATGTAAAAGGGTTTGTCTAGGACACATCTAGATATACCCTAGTTATTGCACATCTAAGTGGCTCAATCAAACTAGGAAGGAAAAGAAAAAAGAGAAAAGAAAATGTTTGCACAAATCTCCGCGTAAAATCAAGGATATGAGACTTAGATGTGCAATACTTAGGGTACATCTAGATGTGCTTTAGCAAAACTGTAATGAATTTGCTTATGAATGCATATTTCCTTTGAAAAATTCTATTGGATTGGTAGATATATTGCTAGATTTTCTTAAGATTCAGGAGCCCAAGAGGACTGCATTGTTTTCTCCAATTTGGAAATGAAGTATGTTGTGGGGAGTGGATGTACTACAAACTGATCTAAAATTATCTTCGAGTTTGTCTTTTCGTCTATCTGGACGTAGTCGACGAAACTTCGGTGTAGATTACTACCGTCTTCTTGGGATGATGAGGTTAGAGTTTCTCGTTATGTGGCGAGATTTGGTATATGATGCTTTAGGGAGCGGGTCCTTAGGGGCATTGACGTTAGGGTTCAAATTTGTGATTTTTAAAAAAAAATCAATGAACTTTTTTTTAAATCGATGAACATTTTTTTGTGAACTTATTTCCAAAATCGATGAACTTGCGTGTAAATTTGCCGGCTCGGGTCGGTCTTGCGTCCGAGGCTTTATTTGTGGTTGGGTTGGACCGGACTGGGCTGAGAGCCTGGGAGACAGTGAACGGGCTGACATTTTGACGGCGTAATTAAGAAGCGGAGCATCATCGATGAGCTGGCAAAGCCCTCCTTCGCCCATTCCACTCCTCTCGCCCCATACTTGTCTAAAAAAAAGAGGAAAAAAAAAAAAACTCCTCTCGCCCCATTCGGCCATACCCTACCATCCGCCGCCTTCCCATGGCCTCCCCCGCCGCCGCCGCCGCCCGGGCAAACAGCC